AGAATGCAATAAGATATTGTAGTAGTAAATATTGTACTGTTTTTACGTGAGTACTTCACACTCAACCTACACAAAACCTGTGATTCACTGCAATAATAATGTGCCAGTTTAATTTCAAGCAAATTCATTTTTTGTGATATTAAGTTATGGATTGCACAGCTTTAATGGTGTCTGTAACTTATTATCAAATTGAAAACTGTTGGAAAAACCTGTTGTCCTCAGGACATGTTGCCTTGAATGCCCTTATTTACAAACAGTTTGACCATTTGTTGCCCAAGGTAAATATTGTGACAAAGCCTTCACATTTGTTCTCAGCTAACAGTTTTCTTATGCATTGTTTCATCCTTCACAAAGACACATAACTCAATAAGATATTCTTTAGAAATATAGATATGTAACCTAGATTAGTTTGCAAATACAAACTGATCTTACCACCATGAGTTGGCGACCACCAGCAGCTGTGAGTTGCAGACTATGAGAGTCACAGCCAAAAGTAGGTGTCCTTGGTTCATTCTCACATCCATCCTTCCTCGTCCAAGAAATGGAACCGTGAGGAGCCTCCTCTGGGGAAACATTTAGGAAATTATAGTAATCCACTTGGAGGAGCTGCTTCCTTTAGTAACTTGAATAAAAAAGTAAGTCCAGTGCCTCTGAATCCCCTCAAATTTCGCCCCAGCTCAGTTTTAAACACCAGTTGTGCGTAAAAAACACCTAGATGACCTGAGGCACTAACGGAGTCTGACATCTGTTGAGAATGTTCTTTTCAAACTCCGCTTCATAAAACGCAACGAAAGTGGATGTCGGTGCGTAATGGACATAAGCGCCACATGGATGGAAGTTAAAACGAACGATGAAAAGACATAAGTGCAACTGTGTGGTGATAGTCCAAACTCTCTCCCCCCTCTGTCTCTGCCGGTTCTCTCGATGTGAACTAACACCTCTGCGCTCCGATGGCACAACTTAACCCTCCCTCCTTCTGCTCGCACTTCAGCGCACCCCCTTCGTTTTGACGCGGATACAATGAAGAAAGAGGAGGAGGAGCGCGAGGGGAGCCGAGGAACTGGTGAGGAATTTGGGGAGGCCAAACAACACAAGAGGGCAGCAGATGAGAATCCGATTCGCGGCAGAGCTTTGATTCTCCGGCGCGCAAGAGCGCTTTTTGCACTTATGGTAAATTACGACACAACGCACGTATTAAAAGGAGATCGAGATTCTCGCGAAGCATTTCTATGAAAATCAAAAAGTCAAAAGTTCACAGAGGGAGATGGAATAAAGGAGTTAACGGCTTGGAAAATATCATTCTTGCATCAAAGTTCACATGCGTATAATCTCCATTCTTTTTAGCTCTATAGTTTACCGCAATAAATCCGAAGAAGGGGGAAACAAAAAAATCCCAGTTTGACATGAGGAATAAAAGCCACGCATGTGATCTTTGACAGTTCAACTCCTGCTACCCTCTAAATCACTATGCACATAAAAGACGCAGTTGCATTAAACGCACTTGAGCATGAGATATCCACTCACACGTCAGCAACCAAGACTAAACCAGGATATAATGTGGGGAAAGTTTTATCAGCACACCCGTTTTAGACGAATTTACAGCTGATAACCAACATTGCAGACATAAACAGACACATTGCACCCTATCCTTCAGAAGTGCGGTGTAAGGAATGCAAATACAATGAGTGTTTTACAGCTCCAGACTCTTGGAGAGGTTTGGGAATTGTAGAGAGCCCTGTGCCGTTCCAGCATCACCCCCACACCTCTCTTTTGAGTGCAGACATGTCAGAATTGGTGTGAGAGACGCCACTCAATTTCCGAGCAGTCTGTGCATGATAAAGCGCCTCTCCGGACCCTTTCATCTCCTCTAATCCACACGCCCAGCCATCACCTTTACGCAGACCTGAGCTCGTCTCCACGTCCCTCCCTCACCCTGGGACCCTGACGCACAGTGCGCAATAAATTCTGTTTATTTTACTTTACACTGTGCGGTGCTTATAATTACTGCATCGCTACTGTACTAATGCGGTTTCTTCCGTTTTTGTAAATGCAATGTCAAAATCAACGTATATAATAATTTCAAACACTAGGATTTATTGGACGATGATTAGAGGAAAATTGTATTTTAAAAAAATCAAAGAATGTCTAACAGATTGGCTTCAGGGTAATCAGATAATGCACATAAATTCATGAATTTCTTATTTTTAAGCACGACGTGGTTAGTGGTTCATTTGAGTTCACATGTATTAGTAGTAAATGGTGTTTGCTCCCCCTGGTGCACTGATTAAGTAATTACAATACACTTTAAAATAAATAAAATAAAACTATCTTTATAACATATACCAAAATTTATAATTGTACTGTTTAAAAATAATTTCCTACACTTAAAAAAAAAAAATAAATAAATAAAAAAAAATTTAAGGTTCCCAAAGGGGGTTTTCACAGCAATGCCATAGAAAAGCCATTTTTTGGTTCCCCAAAGAACCTTTTTTTTGTGAACAGTTATTAAACAAAAACTTTTAATTCTTAAAGAAACTTTTGTGAAATGAAAAGATTCCATTGATGTTAAGCGTTCTTCATGGAACCACAGATGCCAATAAAAACATTTAATTTTAACAGTCTATGAAACCAAAGGCCAAAAAATAATATATTTAACTAGTGAAAACTGTGTTGAATGTATGTATTCTGTAAGCTATCACGTTAATTGTTAATCAGAAAACACAAAATAAAATTTAATTGAAATTTGACAAAATAAAATAAACACAAGTAATTTTGAATAAAATAATCTATTTAACGTGTAAATGTAGCTATAATGATAACAAAACAAAAACAACTATTATTATTATTATTTAATAAAAATAGTAAAATCATGTAATAATTTTCAAAATTCTCTAACCTATTTTTAAATGCATAAAGTTTCTGTAAGAGTCCATATCTATTGCACACTTTCCATTCACAATTCAAAGTCCTGATTCTAGTACTGCATCTAATCACATGGTGGCGCATTTTAGCAAGAAATGAACAGACAGCAAAACTAGCAATAACATTTTCTCACGAGGTCTATGCAATCGCAGCGCAACCCAGCGCAATGCTAGTGTAATACACGACTGATGCCTCATGATTATCAGTATGCATTAAGCTCTTTGTTGGTGCTAAGAAAAATATGCATACTAGAAAAAGATTGATTTTTTTATTTGCGCTGCCAGAGCTCGTGTATAAACACCACTGCCTGTAATTTTATTTGATTTTTAAAGAGTCCAGGCCTTTTGAATTAAGAGCCACTTCGATCCTCTCTAGCAGGTCACCTCTAACTGTGAGCAATAAAACCTGTAAAAGCAGCTGAGTCTTATAGATAAGTGTGCTTGCATATATCACACATGCATTGCTTATACATTACTCAATCTGCCTGAAATTGGTGCTAATAACACACATTTCAATGTGACCTTAAACGGACACGTTCTCTCTCAGTTGGTCTATTTTATGCCATCTGTGCCGCTGCCAGCTATGGTTGGTAAATGATGACATCACTGGCATGCATGAATAGAATCCGAGCATCCAGTGCGTTTCAGAATCTGGATGCTGTCTTCTTCATACACGCTTTGCAGATTTGTACCGACTTATATTAGCAGAGCGGTTGCCAGTGCTGGCATATCGGTTACAGAAAGAAAATTCTGTCATCATTTACTCACACTCATGTCATCCAAACCTGTATTATTTTCTTGCTTGCATGGAACACAAAACAAGATGTTTAACAGAATGTTAGTGCTGCTCTTTTCAATATAATGAAAGTGGACCTTCAAGCTCCAATGATGACAAAATTATCATAAAACATAATTAAAGATAATTTGCGTGCTATTTTCCAAGTTTTTGAAAGTCATGTTATGCATTCTTAAAAATAAAGGTTGCAAAATGTTTTTTTTTGCAGCATTAATGCCACACAAGAACCATCCTAAAGAACCTTCCAGTTCTTAAAATAATTTTTTTTTAATGTGAAGTGCATTTTAATAATCAAGACAATTTTCCACTATAAAGAACCTTTTGTAAAATGCAATGGTTCCATGGATGTTAAAAGTTCTTCTTTGAACCATAGATGCCAATAAAGAAAGTTTTATGAGGTGTATGAGGAGAAGACCAAATATTTGAACGAATTTGACCACATTATTGACCAAAAAAGCACAAATAAGCATTGAGAGCTTATTCTGGTTTTGTTTCTCACACAAAGCTATCGTATGACTTTGTCTGCTATTGTCTGTATTGTAAAGAACCTTTTTTTGTTCCTCACAGATGTCAATAAAGAATATTTATTTTTAGGAGTGTATGAGAAGATGAATTTTTTGACCAAATTTGACCACATTATTGTGCATATTCAAACTGCACAAATAAGCTTTGAGCGCTCATTTTGGTTTTGTTCCTCTCACAAATCTATCGTATGACTTTGTCTGCTATTGTCTGTATTGTAGAACTTTTTTCCTCTATAAAGAACCTTCCGTGGAAACCTTCCGTTTTCATGAATGTTAAAAGTTCTAAATGGAACCATTGATGTCAATAAAAGAAACTTAATTTTTAAGAGTGGTCTTTTAAGAAGACCACATTTTTGACAAAATTGACTGCATTATTGACCAAATAAGCTTTGAGGGTCATTTTTTTTTCCCTAGCCTAGTCACCATTCACTTTCATTGAAATAGCAGGGTGAACATTCCACTTAACATCTCCTATTGAGTCCCACAGAAGAAAAAATGACAAGCTTGAGTAACTGCTGACAGAATTTTCATTTTTGGGTGAACCATCCCTTTAAGGTTTGGTTCTGATTTGGAGCGATTATGTAAACAGCTCAGTGTCTGACACAGAACAGGAAAGAAACAGAGGTGAGAGAAGACAAGGAAAACACTGGAGCCAAGCAGACGGTGTGTGTGCAAATGTGCGAACGAGCAAAGATGAAGACAACCTGGCTAAAGCTCAGGAGAGCTCTTGAACTCTGTGATGATCCTCCAGTTACACAACTGCGCACAAAGAGCTCCGGCGCCAGCGAGAGAGAGACAGAGAGACTGAAAGAGAAAAGATGCCACCCATACCAAAGATCCCGACTAGCATAAAAACAGCCACTAATCAAAACAATCTGCCCAATACCTCGGTCTCTGTGCACGCAGAGAAAAACAAAGGCACGGGATAAAGAGCGAAAGCAGCTTTCTGGCTGTGAATTCACAGCACTTATAATAAACAAAGTGTTCACAAGTCTGTAAAACTCGCTGCTTCCCCGTTGAGTCACACGTACTGTAAATGCCCCCCTCTTTCCTCACACACAATGCCATGTGGTTCGGGGTACGGTGGAAATGACGGGAGGGAGCTCTACACGTGCTGGGGGTGGGGTAAACCGGTCCAGCTGTGTTTCCCAGGGTGCTTTGCGGCAGCCGCTGGGAGATCAATGGTGAGGCAAGCCTGACAGATCTGTGTGCTGAAGTGTCTGAGCGAGCAGCCTGCTGTATATCATTAAAACTGCAGCGTCTCTCCATAACGCTGTCTGTGACTAACCCAGATAGCAGGCAGACTCCCAAATCAAAGACATGTGGGCTGCACACACACACACACACACTCACACACATACA